GAAGGGTGCTATAAGCAGAATAGGGGTCTTCTTGCTCCCCCCAAATTGGGATTTATGAGACATCACTGGCGATCAAGTGTCAAGATTGATGCAGGTATGATATCTTCTTCCTACACAGTGTCTTGAGAAATCATCGGGACATGAAAGAGACTTACATGTCTCTTTGCGAACATGTCCGCAGTGTGCTTCCTGCAGTCCCTGTCAGTGAAATGTTCTTTGAAGAAGATCCAGCAGCTTTGCGTCTTGAGATGGAACGGCTTGGCCAGGTGGAAGGAGTGGGTTGCTGCTAAATGTGGATTATGTGTTTCCTGCTTCCCTCATGGATTTTGTTGCTTCTGGTTTATGCTGGAAGCAAAGCTAAAGGCAAAGAGGAAGTGGAGGTATGTAGTAGTTAGGCAGGACACTGCTACAAGCAGATTGGGATAGCTGCTTGTTGCGTTTGTAGTGAATGAGTGAGCTCCTTGCATTCTTTGATGCAACGGTATATGTACATCTTATAGTCGTAGCTTTTTTGGCTCAAGAGTTGCAGCTGGCATTCAAAGATGCATCCAGCGGCAATGCATCCCATTCCATCAGCCACACACGTCCTCTCCATCTTCCTTTGTTTCGCCTTGAAATTGGTGGCTTTTTTGGCACTCCTCATGCTACCTGAGGAGGACAAAAAACAGGTCATCGGCTGGGTTGGACTTGGAGGACCAGATGCTGATTCCAGCTCGGAGTGGAGCTTTGTTTGCGATTTCGAAGAGCAGGATGAGAAGAAGAGCTCGGAACCACCTTGCCAGCATGAGCGGCTGGATGAGAAAAGCTCGGAACCACCTTGCCAGCATGAGCGGCTGACTCGACGTGGGAGCAACCACTTTAAGACCCAGATGAAGTGCATTGATTGCGGAGTCATTGTGAAGCAAGAGCTCACAGAAGCTGGGTTAGAGAGCCAATATAAGAAAGAGTACAAGGGCAAGCTTTGTACCAAGTGATTTATGGGATTTTCTCTCACCAGGGCTCAAAGTGTCCTCAACTTTGTATTGTAAAGGTTGGTGGCTCGTCACAAGGGCGAGTGTGTGAGTGTCCGTCCACAGGTGCAATAAGCAGACTGGAGTTCTGTACAGTGCACAGCCCCACGTTTTCCATCGAGCGCATTCCGGGTCTCTACTTTGGGCTGTTCATATTTGCGGGTGGTTCATGTCCCTGCTAGGAGACCCAAAGAACTGTCCATTGGATGACTGGACCCCACTGCTTACCAGCACTGAGCTCGCCAACCTCAAGGGATACATGGAAGAGCTGCTCGGCAAAAAAGATATGCACCAAGACTGGGGGTGTTTTTTTAATACAGTTCAAGCTCCAGAGAGAATGTTCGACCATCGAGAAATGTCTATGTGTATATGTGTATATGTATATATACGCATATGTCTAAGGTTTGGCAAGCTTGGGGAAACTGCCAGGGCTCCAGTCTTTGCTGTGGGGCAAAGCTACACAAAACGGCCTATACAAGTGGGAGCAGAGCTGTGCCTCCCATGCTTTACAAAAACAGGAACCAGGAGCAATGTATGTGCTGTGTTCCAAATTTAGAACCATTAGTGGTGTCGTTGTTGTATACGCAACACAATTTTCAACAGGTGGGTCGCAAAAACCCTGGCGGAGGAGGCTGGTGCATGGCCAGAAACTACGATGGATGACTGAGAGAGAGAAGTTGGCAGTGTCTGGGCTGGCAGTCTCCAAACTGCAAGCTGAGATGGCGGGCATCAAATGTCCAGTTGATTGGCAGCTAGATGTAGGGTGGCATGCCCGTGTTGGAAACGCCAACCAAGTTCAAAACGTTGGGCTGGTGCTGATGAGCGCGCTGGCCGGCCTTGAGATCCGCTCGTCAGCTCCCACAGACTTGCTGCACATTCAGGCTCCCTCTTTTCCTGATGGCCTTTCCACTCAGAATGGCGTGTACATGCTCAAGGTTGGACAAACCGAGTTCCACGTGGGTCCCGATAAGGAAGTGGCCTGCAGTCTTCACCATCAGTTGCACGCACCTTGGCTGTTTGTGGAATTCAGGCGTTGCAAGCAGATAGGAAACTGTGTTTCTTGCCACAGGGTTGCAGGAAGCCACTTGTACATGATGGTCGGCAGAAACCTCCTGATATTGCATTTTGTTTGTCAAAATTGTCGGGGTCCTGGGATCAAAAGCTCCTCACGTAAACAAACAAAGCTGGCATTTGTTGGGTCCTTTCCTTTGGATCTTTTGTTTCCTGTTATATATGGTTTCTTTGCATTTCTCACATATGCAACAAGCAGCCACACTGCAATCTGCTTATTGCAGCCTTGCGATGAAAGTGATGCAGGTCATGCCGGTGATGCTGATGATGTTGTGGCTAAACACTCTTTTATCATATTTGCCCATAAACTTCAATGATGGCATCCGTTTTCATCCGATTCCTTCAGATATCCATTGAAAACATTACAAACTGCACAGAAAACTCCTTAATTTATGAACCTTTCCTCAACAACCTTCTTCTTTTCAACTTTCCAAAAAGACTTTTTAAAAACCTATTCTTAAAACTCTTGAAACCTCAAGGGAAGACAGGAACTGAAGGAATATGACCATCCAAATAACTAAACATTAAACAATTAACTAGCTACTTTTGGTTCACTTTTTCTCCTCTCCCCCTGTCTCTGTGTCTCTTCCCTTAACGGGGGGAGTGCGTTCGACTCTTCGGACCGCATCTCCGAGCGAAGAGTTGGACCTTTCGGCCGGCGCTCCCGTTAAGGGAAGAGACACAGAGACACACGGGGATCGACTCTCCGGACGCACGGCGGCTCGGGTGCCGAGAGATGTCGGTGAAGCATCGGTCACGGGAACTGTCTCTCGGCACCCTCGGCCCCGAAACTCCCCCCCGTTAAGGGAAGAGACACAGAGACAGGGGGAGAGGAGAAAAAGTGAACCAAAAGTAGCTAGTTAATTTTTAATTCTTAGATATTTTCCTGGTCATATTCCTTCAGTTCCTGTCTTCCATTGAGGTTTCAAGAGGTTTGAGGCCATTTCTTGAAATTTAGGATTTTGGGAAAATATGGGAAAATTCAATGTTTTTTGCTATTTTCCTGGTCAGATTCCTTCAGTTCCTGTCTCCCCTTGAGGTTTCAAGAGTTTTAAGAATAGGTTTTTAAAAAGTCTTTTTGGAAGTTGAAAAGAAGAAGGTTGTTGAGGAAAGGTTCATAAATTAAGGAGTTTTCTGTGCAGTTTGTAATGTTTTCAATGGATATCTGAAGGAATCGGATGAAAACGGATGCCATCATTGAAGTTTATGGGCAAATATGATAAAAGAGTGTTTAGCCACAACATCATCAGCATCACCGGCATGACCTGCATCACTTTCATCGCAAGGCTGCAATAAGCAGATTGCAGTGTGGCTGCTTGTTGCATATGTGAGAAATGCAAAGACATCATAACAAGACCATGGTGAAATCTTTAAGATATGTCAGTGAAGAACACTGCAGTAAGCAGATTACCACATTCAGCTTACTCCAGTTGTTGGGCATCACTGGCATTTTATCAAGAGTTAAAATGAAAAGCAATAGAGGAACAACCGGAGGGTTATGGGATGGTGATGGATGGTGGACTGGGAACCTTTAAATATCTATACCTTCAACTATACATAACTACAGATACACATTATATATACTATTTGTATAGGGGATAGTATATGTATATGATATATATAGTCTATTGCAAAAAAAAAGGCAGCTGCTGCAGGCAGAGTTCTTTTGCTGCTTAGTGCAGTGCTACCTCCGAGTTTGAAACATGCGCGGCCCCCCAGTGCCAAGGAAGAAAGGTTGCAGCAAGCAGTGCTCACCGTCGCAGAGATGAAAGGCAAGATTGAATCCTGGGGGCTCGACATGCAGCTGTTCAACAAGAAAAAGAACAAGGAGGACAAGCAGGAATATTTGCTGCAAGCCTGGTTCAAGAAGTTTCTTTATCCCACTCTAGCGAATCCAGCTCCAACTTCTGTGCCTGCATCCAAGAGCTCAGTTGGAGACTCCAAGAAGGCACAAATCCAGGAAGCTCTTGATTTCAAGGCTGACATTTTGGCCTTTGCAGTTGAAGCGCCAGAGTTGCACTCCAAAATCTTGCTTCTACAGCAAGAGTGGTTAGACAAAATCCTGGATGGTACAAAGACTATGGAGTTGCGCAAGTCTTTGATCGATGAAACAGAGGACACGATGTATCTGGCAGTCAAACATTGCATTCTTGGCAAATGCCGGATCTCCCATCCCATTCACATATGCAATTTGGAAGAATTTGAGGCCTTGATCCCTGCTCACCGATGTCCGGCTCCATTTTACTCATTCCCAATGGTCGGGCACAGAGTGAGCCAATGCCAAAAGCTTCAGCCAGTGAAGTTCAAAAAGCTCAAGTCATGCATTGGGAGGGCCCTTTTTCGTCCGGTAGGCACAGACGAGCCAGATGACTCCGAGCATTATGAAAGTGCAAGGATGCTGCTGCGAAGCTTGAGGCGGATGGAAATGGAGATGGAACCGTGGAGGGTGGGGGTGACAAAGCTGAAGGTGGCAAGAGCAAGGCTAGTGCCAAGAGCAAGGCGGCTGGTGCCAAGGCTGGCGCCAAAAGCAAGGCTGGTGGCAAGAAGTCGAAGACCGTTGAGGCAACGACCAAAGAGGTCAAAATGCCAAAGAAAACCATCGACAAAAGCAAGGCAGCATGTGGCAAGAACAAGGAAGACATCAGGCTACCTCAGGGGGATGTGCTGCAAGGGCATGCTGTCAAGGTCATCAACCACAAGGACCAACTTGGGGAATCTGCTTGTTGCAGGTGTATTGTGAGCAGGTATGTCACCCCTTTTTCAGTTAGGTTTCCACGTGTAAGGTGGCAATCTTTGGGTTTTCACTGTTGGGGGCCAAACAGATTTTCCCATCTGCTTATTGCAGCCTGTCCACAGGAACATTTGAAGCCATCAGAAGCGAGACTAGAGAGCAAGCGGGCATTTTTGAAAAGGAAGGATATGAAGGATGATCTGGAAGTCTCTGGAGGGTTGCTATCTCACATATGCAACATCTCTTTTCCAAGAGCGCCTACCACGACATTCTGCTTTTTGTTGGGCTCTGTTGATGCGAAAGGAATAGTGCGAGTGGCAGGGTTCCATTGCCCAGAGTGGGAGAAGCAGAATGATCTTTCCTTGATTGATTGGAGAGAACAAAGGGTGAAGTCCCTCTGCCAATCCAAATCGCACGAGGTGATTGGCTGCTGCCTAGTAAAACCAACTGGTGAGGCAACATTGAGCAATGCTGATGCTGCCATGGCCCGGAAGCATCAACTTGAGTGCAATGAAGCCTTTGTCACTGCAATTACAGGCAAGGACAGAAAGACCCGTTTTTTCCGCTTGACAGCTGCTGGGGTTGCGGAGGCTGAGATCGAGGTTGGAGAAACAACAATGGTAGAACTTCATGCTGCAGTTCAGTGGGTGGGGCCGTCCTCACTCTACTATGCGGAGGTAGTGTCAGAATCTCTTGCAGACTTAGATTCCCTTGAGAAAGAGGCAGCCGAGGCATTGCTGGCCAAGAGAGGCAAAACCAAGAAATGTCAGGCAAGGGCTACAGCTAGGGCTGATGACTTGGGGCATAGTGCCAAAGCGGCCGCAACTTTGAATGACATTGCGGAGGAGCTAGGTCTTTTTGCAGATTGGCTTTGTGCAGAGCTGCCTCGCTTTACCAGCGTCAATCAAGACTTGCAGAAGGAGTTTCAGCAGCGCTTGGATCAATTTCCCCTTGCAAACAGAGAGCTGGCAAAGATTCAGGCTTGCGCATGTCCTTCAGATATTGCTGGAGCTGGCAAGGTTTTGACTGCTGTGCATGGCATGAAGGCTGATTTGCAAGTTCGAGCTGTAAAGCGAAACGCTACAGGGCATGCATTTGATGGAAAGAAGTGGAAGCATGCTGCGAGAAGTTCAAGCGCCTTCAACACACCTACACCCAAGCGTCCACGAGTTACACCTTCTTCTACTCCGTCTGCAGCGTCCACTTCACCAGCTGCCACTGAACCTGCTTCTTCTACTGCTGCTCCAGCAGCTTCTCCGTCTGCAGAGTCAACTTCACCACCAGTGGCTGAATCATCTTTGATCACTGTGAGCTCTGAGACTCAGGACTGTTTTTGCAATCTGTGTTACATAGACTGGCCAACAAACACTGCGTCTTATATAGTATACAAATAATCTGTTTGCGGGTATCACTTAGCAACACCTGCAATAAGCAGAGTGGATTTCTGCTTGGTACAGGCGGTGTCAATATGTTGCTTTTCTGGGGGGTTGAGCTCTTTTCTCAAGTCTGGATGCATTCCCGAGGAGGAAAACCTAGAAGACCCTGCTCCACTGCTCGAATGCCAAATGGTTGTCCATGCTGGCGAGGAGGAAGCTGAGGACGGGAACATGTTGGGGTATCAATTGGTGGTGGATCCTCAATCTGACCACGAGGAAGGAGATGACATGGAGGAAGAGGACGAAGAGAACAGGCCCAAAAAGAGAGGAGGTCAATCAGTCCGTGTCCGGCTCCCTGTGTACAAAAAGTTGCAGTGTATCAGGGAACTAGACAGGCTTATCGAGTCTGGGCAACGGAAAGGCTTGGAAAAGTCTGTGATGCATTCTTTCCCAGAGGTCTTTATGGGAACCCGTGGCAAGATGAAGACAGGCATGTTGGGCAGATGGCTTGTCCAAGCGGATGAGCAGTCACGGAGGAAAATTCCCTTTGAAAAAATGAGTGCAAAAGACCAGCAAATGAAAGATCTGCCGGACTGGGTGAGGCTTCCTTTGGGGATGACACCACGGTCTCTCGACCGTTTCAAAAGTGGTACCAATGTACCACAGCCAGTGGTGACCAAGGTGGTGCAAATGATTGAGCGGGTAACTTGCGGGCAAGGGCCTGCACTGACTGCAGGTGTTCTCAAGGCTGAGTCAGTGAAGAAGGAGGTTGAATCCATGCTGCAGGTGTTCAATGACGCGCAGAAGAAAACCGCTGAGGAGAATGGCATTGCCATTCCTGACCAGAAATCCAAGGTTTCAATACGGTGGGTCAACCGGCTGCTCAGTCACTATGGATGGAAGAGAAATGCCCCTAACACCTATGGCGCTTACCTGGAGTTTGATGATGAGAGGATGGTCCGTTCACGCCGTGCTTGGCGCTTCCTCAGGCCCCGTTGTCCAAATATGCATGTGTGTATATGCTTTTGTCTAACAAATGGATAGATAAACAAAAACAAATGTACCAAGGCAATAATGCCCACCCTGTGCAGGTTGGAAAAGAACGTTCGGCTGGATCTTGCCTTGAATTTTGATCAAGTCTGGAAAGCTGCCTGGACAAATCCTGTCAAGGTGCTGACGCGCGTGTTGGACACTCAGTGCCCTTCTGTCACGCTGAAGGGAAAGAGGGAGCAACTGTGGGCAGAGCTCCACCGACTTCAGCGCCAAGGCAACACAGAGTGGGAAGCAAAACGAAGGCGGATTGCAGGACCGCTCTGCAGTTCAATGCCTTCTTGAAGATGTTTGTCTGTATATATATATATAGATGATATATATATATATTTTTTTTTAAAAATATATATATATGAAATATTTGCGCATCATATAATATAGAGAGTGAAAGGACAGAATTGCTGTTTGGAAAGGATCCCTAGTGGGGCTGCAATAAGCAAAATTCACAATCTGCTTATTGCAGCATCTCTGGGAACTGGTCTTTACCGATACTTATCTTAATATTCTTGTTTGAAAGCTCAGGTTGTTTTGCGGTAAAAGCAGTCTAGCTAGTATTGCAACACCTGAAGGACGGGATGCAAGATGTGATACAGTGGACCAAGGCAGGCACTCAATCACCATCGTGACTTCACTCTGGGGGTCGGGCGAAACTGGACCGCTCACCCTGGTTCTACCACTGGGTTTCTTGTCCGGGGACAAGCAAGCAGAACTTCAGCAGCGGTTTGCTCCACATGTCTATTTCTTGTCTTCAGGGCGTTCATCCCATTTCATGAACGCGGAAGTGGTAGCAGCCTTCTATGAGACCGTGCTTTCAGATGCATTTGAGCGGAGGAGGCAAGTTCTTGCAGAACGCTACCAAAGATCTTTCCAAGATGAGTGGGGCATTCTCCTGGCTGACAGCTTTACCGGACATCACAGCCTCAGTGGTGGGACAGACGCTCAAAGCAGCCCGAATGATATATATTTGTAAGATTTTGAAAGTTTTGGGTGGCAAGATGTATATACTTTGTTCTGGGTTTGCGAAGGGGTTCTTATGGCCTTAACTGTCTTTCGTTTTTCTGTGGGATCCATGTGACAATTGAGGAGAACTATTCTCAACTACGAGCCGGGTTGTCTTAGCACAGAGGCAACCTGGTGGATGGTCAGCGCGTGGTCAACCGGCTGACGCCATTCACTCCATTTTGAGGAAGCACATGGCCACATACCAAGAGACGTGCTTTGGCTACCGTTCAGGACTCATGCAGCGTGCTACGGACACACCAATGCTGCTTTCCAACGGCAACAAGCATTTGTCAGTGTCCCACGAGGAGTCGGTCTTGTCTGCCATCTACGGATGGCAACGGCTTGGCAAGAATGGCAAGGCTTTAAGGCCGGCCATCTTTCCAAGTTCCCCTTAGGCCTGCAATAAGCAGATTGCCAATCTGCTTATGACAGAGTCCTGTGTCTTGTGATGTATATTTAGATTAGAGAGGATACATGGACTAGTAGTATAATGGGCAATCTTATATAACGTCCCCTTCAAGTGACACAGGTCAACAGTATCTTTGCCAACAGTTGTGCCAGTGTGTTCATGCTAGGTGGGCGTGGCTCAGCCGGGGCATGGCATCCTATGAGGAGATGTGCGAGGTTTCTCCTGAGCCAGTGACTACAGAGACCCTGAAGGAGGAGATGGCGCATTGTGAGAAGCAAAGTGCAGAGGAACTGTTTGAAGGCAGTTTGGAGGAAGTCTTTGAGCGGCCAGATGTCAACCGCACGACTTTCCTGTGGCAGATTGAGAGTTTAGCAGAGGACTCCGATGTGGAAGATGAGTGGGAGAAACAAGATTCTCAGTGGCGCTGCCTGCCGCAACACTGGCAGCACTTGCTAAACCAAAGGCTAGCCCAATACCATGGACATGTTCAAGATGCTCAGGCTCTAGTGGAGCATAGAGAAGCACAATTTGGGGTGGACGACATCAAGAGCAAAAACGCACGGCAGAAACTCTTGGAACTGCAGGAGGGCAAGTGTGCCACGAGCGTAGTTTTGATGTGCAAAGGCACTGCCAAAGAAGTGTCCCCAGATGTCTACAAGAGGTGTGTTCAAAGCACCAACGGTGAATTGAAAGTGTCCGTATCCAACAAAGTAGTTGCTTACAAGCTTTGTGTGATGTCACTGAAGCTCACGACCATGGCAGAGCCGGAGGTTGCGAGGCAACTCCGGATAGTGTCAGTGACAGGCCAGAGTCGAGAAGTACAAGCAGTGCGTCTTCATTTGAACCTACTCTCACTGCAATCCAGCAAAGTCCTGCAAGACCTTCAAGTGCCAAAGGCCAAGAAGTCAAACACCTCAATCCATGTGGGGGAAACGGATGCAGCAGGTGGACAGGATGAGGTGGCACAGGAGCTCACTATTCTTGACAAAGCGGAAGACCAAGCTGACGGAGAAGCAGCAGAACTCCTTTGCCCTGATGTTGCAGAGTCTGCTTTTGTTGAAGCACAGGCCAGTATGAGGGGATGGGGCTGCAAGAAGCAGATTGGGACATACGTCAAGTGTTTTGCACTTAACTGTCATGATACTTTATGTAAGAGGTTGTCTGGAAAACATTGTAAAGAGTATATACTCTATTCTATATACATATATATATATATGGGTTACTGAGCGACGGGTGCCTTTGCAAGCCAACAACAACAGAAGGGCACTCAAATCTGGTGTGATCTGCTTATTGCACCGCTCGATTGCAGGCAAATGTGAACACGGGAGATTCAAATGGTGAGGCTGATGACGGAGCATCTGATATTGGTAGTGATTGCCCATGTCCAGAACTTGAAGGAGGAGTTGTTTGGACCATTTGTCCCAATGGTGCATCGTCTACTGAGCAGAATGACCATGAGCCTAAGGAGTCTGAGGCTGCTGATTCAGCCGCGTCAGTGACAGTTTCCGGGGAGCAGTTTAAAGATGTTCCCGCCTTTGTTTTCTTGGACAACATCGGATTGACCCAACTCCCCAACAGAGTAGGAGTCGGGGTGTCCTTCCATGGAACAACAAAGGTTTGGCAAGTCCGCTACCCGGCGGATGACAAACAATCAACAGCACGAACCTTTGGACATGTAAAGGGCAAGGGGCATGTTTCTTCGTGCGCTGCATTGATTCAGTGCCTTTTGTGGTCTTGGCAGCAGCATGCGGTCAAGAACCCTTCATGTCCAGTGTCCAAAGAAAGAATTCAGGTCTTGACCGGAGCACTCAAAGTTGGCCTTGGAAATCACATCGAGTGAAGGCCTTATCGGATCTTATCTGCTCCATTTCAGGTCGAGGTGCACGTTGAACCTACGGCGTTTGTGTTGTTGGACCAGCTGATATCAAAGCATGTTATATTTAATGCCACTCATTTGGGATTGATTTCATTTTTGTTGGTTGTTCCTATACTTTGTGAGGTGCACGGTTCCGGCACTCTTGAAGATGGCCGGTTGAATTTCACTTGCACAAATGGGTACCGGGAAAAGAAACATGCTGCTCTTGCAGCTCTTTTGCGCCAGTGTTTTTTCTTGTGATGATGTAAGCGCTGCTACAAGCAGATGGAGGCAATCTGCCTCTTACTTTTTGCATTGTAGAGACTCTAGAGACCAATTCTTGCGATTGATCAGGCCCGTGTGTATGTGGTAGTTGGTTGGAGGATCATTGGTGGTCCAGCGTGGGCCTTGCTGTAAGCAGACTAGAGAATCTTCTTGTTGGGGGGTGGGCCGGTGACACTATTTCAGTTAGTCTAGAAGCATGTATTTTTCACTTATGTTTTACTATTTTCCTGCCGCCCTCCCTCTCTCCTGCCCTGGAAACAAGGAAAAGAAACAAGAAGGAAGGACAAGGAAGGAAAAGGAAAGAGGAATTCTCTCCCTCCCTCTCTCCCTTCGTTCCTTCTTCTTTCCCTTCCTGTCCAACCCATGCATCTGTTGACTTCTGATTTGGCAGTATCGCTGGACGATATAGCGTCTGTGTGCGATGTGGTGTTTTGAAACTGGAGGTTTAAATCATAATAGCCAATTCTTTCTGGGGGTTATATACATACATCCATGTTGACCTGGAGGGGTACCAAGCAGATTCAGTACTGCAGAATCAAGCCAAGGTTGGGGACATTCTGGGGACATTCTGGGCTCCTCAAATATCCTCTGCTTATCTGTTGGCTAGAGCAGATTTCTGCTTACTACCCGTCTCAGACTATATGTTTGCTTGAGCATTCTGGACTTAGGTACCATCAAGCACGATGCGATCATGCTCAAGAACCGCCGCTCCGACTATGTGGCAGAAAAATTCTTGCGACACTGAATAGCGCTCTATGGATGCCCCGCTCAAGTCACCCATGACCAAGGAGGAGAATTCGAACAGTCGTTCCACGCACTCCTCGAAGATCTAGCGATCCCCTCAAAGGTGACAGGAGCTCACGCAGCATGGCAGTTGAGCGCGGGAGAACGTCACGGAGCCACATTGGGAGTCATGTTTCAGGCAATTGTTGATGAGCATGGCGTCACTGGCTATACCCAAATGAAGAAAGCTTTGTCCTGCGCTGTGATGGCAAAGAATGCTACCTTGACCAAGGACGGTTGCACCCCAAATCAAAGGGTGTTTGGCGTTGAGCACAAATGGCCGAGCTTGACTGCAGATGATGTCGGTATGAGCTTTGTCCAAGGTCTATCTGCAGACAGTGAGGTGGCCCGTGCACACAAGATGCGCACAACAGCTCGCGTGCGCCAAGATGTCCGAGACAAACTTCGAAGGACATTGCTACGCAAGCCACCCACAGCTACAGGACCATTCGTGTCAGGCGCTCAGATCTACTTTTGGGTGCCACAGCTCAAGCGCTACAACCGTGACAGTGGCCAATGGCGTGGTCCGGCTACTGTGTTGGTTCAAGAGCAACAGAAAAGATATTTTGTGAGCTGGCGAGGACGACTACTCCTACTAGCCGAGGAGAACATGAGGCTTGCAACTCCAGAAGAGCTGGCACATTCGGAACCGGTGAAAGAAGACGTCCTGGACATCCAAGAACTTCTGAGAGATCCAACAAGATCTAACATCTACCAGGACCTTCGAGCAAAACCACTGCCTCCGAGACCTCGAAAGAAGAGAGAACCTCGTCCTCCCGAAGATCCACAGAGGCTGAGAGCAAAGAACATCCTGAGGGGAACAAAGGCAGTCCGAAGGCTGTTGAACCAGCGACCTCAGATGTCTCAACTACCACGGCAGAAAAAGAGGAAGGAGTTGCCAGCGGCAGTTGAACCTCCACTACATCGAGAACTTGTGCCTCGAGATCCTCTACCTGCTCAACCCGTGGCAGCGCCATTGGAACCGGCACCGCGTGTCGTAAGGCGGCGCCTGGCTTTGTAGAATATTTCTCCTGATGTGGCCGAGCCACCACCAGTATCCGTGGCTGAGCCACCATTGGAACCCGCTCCTGCATCTGGTGTTGATGTGCCGATCGATGACTCAGGTGGCTTGTCTGACTACTCACCGACTTCGCGGCAGATTCACCACGCCCTGATCATCCACCAGACTGGGAGCAGTTGCCTACAGAGGCTCGAAGACAGCGTCTTACCGATGATGTTCCTTTCAGCATTAAACGGAAGCTGCAAGGATCCACTACTTCAGAACTCCCCTTGAAGAGGGCCAGACCGAGCACAGCTTTGTTTATGCAAGTGCTCGCTTCCACAGTTTCAGAAGGACCTGCCAACGAATGGATCACCCGCCGTGAAGTGGAATTGCTCAGGCAACTCACTGGATTGCCGATCACGGCTGCGAGGCTACATCGCTTTCCCCGAAAACGGTTCATGAAGCCACCTCGCAAGCGAGCTCGGGTGACGATTCTCATGGGCAAGGATCCCGACAACATCTTCATGGTAGAAGAAGATCAAGAGGAAGCTGCAAAGCATCCCCGGCGGAGGGCATCTTTCCCATGGCGAGGAATGACTTTCTTTTTGAAGAGTGAGCCACCGCCCACAGAACAGAAAACATACATTCAGCTTCCTGATGGGATCTATGAGGCCAACTTGAAGGAGGAGGAGCGACGACAGTTTGAACATCATTGGCTGGAAGATCTGCACGATCACCTGTTGGCAGAGGTGATGCTTCTCAAGCTCAAACAGAGCGGAAAGGAGTTAGACCCGAAATTCTTTGATGAGGAGGAGCGTGCAGAATTCCTCAAAGCAGATGCCAAAGAGTGGCAACAGCGGGTCCGCAATAAAGTCATCAAGCGGCTGTCCAAGGAGGCGGTTCGGAATGGATGGAAAGGATGGTCATTTGATGTCACCACGGCATTCCTTTCAGGTGAGAACCTCACCAGAGACGTCTATGTCAGAGCTCCAGAAGAAGGTCTACCAGCAGTTGAGGGAGAACCCCCAGTTCGAGCTGGAGAACTGATGAAGATCCTTCGATCTGCATATGGCTTAGTTGAAAGCCCACGGCTTTGGTACTTGCAAGCCAGCAAGTTGCTCACGACCACACCTCTGGAAGAGCTGCCCATTAGCAGGAGCAGTTTTGTGGCCGCGGAAGGCAACAAAGCCTGGAGCATTCTCAGCTTGCATGTTGATGATGGACTTTTGTTTGGCGATGAGCGCGATCCACGCTTTCAGAAGTTGAAAAGTGACATCAACAAGATGTTCACGATCAAAGAGTGGAAGTCGATCCCTTTGACCTTCCTCGGCGTGGACCTCAAGCAAAAGGGTGAAGAACTTTTTGACGATATGTCAAACTACATCGCCAAGATCGCCCTCCCAAACATGAAGCTGGAGCCCAAGAATGATGACAAGCCACTTGATGCCCAGCAGCTCACAGCATATCGACAGCTGGTGATGAGGTTGCGATGGCCAGTCAATGCCACAACTCCTTTACAAGACGAGCAAGCTGGCACAGCGCGCAACAAAAGCCACGATGGGTGACTACAAAGCGGCGCTTCAGCTTTTTGAAGAATGCAAAGAAGAAGCCCGCCAAGGCAGAGCTGCCTTGCCATACCCCCGGATTCGTGGCAAGTTGTTTTTGGTGACCTACTTCGATGCCAGCTTGGGCAAAGAGAAGGATGGCAAATCGCAACTAGGTGCGATTCATTTTCTGTCCAATGAGGATGTCAATCATGGACCACAACCAGCTGCAGCAATCGACTATACAACCAACAAGAGCAGCAGGGTTGTTCGAAGTTCCATGGCGGCAGAGTCGTGTTCGCTCAGTGTGGCGGTTGACAGGCATCTCTACATCCGCCTGATTGCGGACATGATGTTGCATGGTGTCTTCAAGGTTGGCTCCGACTGGCGTGAGAAGCTTCGCGTTGGCGGTGGCATCGTGACCGATGCGAAGTCTCTTTTCGATCATCTTGGAGCGACTGGTCAAATTCCAGCTGAAAGACAAACCATGTTGGATCTGCTTGTCGCTAAGGACCTTCTGGAGCAGCAGATCTACAGGTTGTTTTGGGTACCGACCCATCGACAGCGCGCTGACGGTCTCACGAAGGCCATGAGAAACGTGCTGTGGGAGGAATACCTACGGAAGAAGACCATAAGCCTCAAAGAGACGCCGGAGGAACGCGAGATCGAAGAGCATCGTAAGCAGTTGAGAAAAGGACAACGAGAACGTCGAAAGATTCGATCAAAGCAAATGGCATCTTCGACCTCAACCACTTCATGGCAGAGCCAGCAGAAAGCCACATGGCAGAGCCAAAACAAAGATTCTGGCAGCGCCAGTGCAACTCTTTTTGGCTGAGCCATTTCAGAAAAGTGGATTTGGCTGCGCCAGATCCCTAATTCATTAAATCCGAACAAGCCAACATCCTTCCTTCCCAATGTGGAAGATGGCAGTTGCTGGTACTTGCCGGTTGTTGGTGGCATGTTCGGTTCCGCTCGCTAGCTTGATCAAGCGCATGCAGCAAAAAGCCGCGCTTTTGCTTTAGCTTTCTACTTAGAGCCCAATTCATCTCCGCACAAGCAACCAAGCAAGATAAGCAAGCCAACAAACGCACCATGAAGCATCCTCTGCATGCACAATCCGGATCAATCCAGCAGTGAGCGCAATCAAGGATCACTGTGGAGATTTTCAATCAGAAAGAGCAAGAGACCGTCTCAGACGAGGAAGTAAGTGCAAGCAATGAGCCACGACAACCAGTCAATCAAAGACTTTGATTGGTTGCTGCATAGCAAGCATCCAACCCAAAATCATAACGGCAAACAACACCAGGGCAACTAAGGAAGACAAGGAAGTAGCAGAGACATTGACTGACAACCCTTACAAGGATCCAAGTCAGACTAGGCCAAGGAAACAGGTGAGAAGAGGGAACCAATCAAGCAATCAGGCAACCAATGAGCAGAACGAACATCTACCAAGCCAAGCAACCAAGCGTACATGCAACAGTATTCAGACCGCAACCAACCAACCAACCAGCCAGCCAACCAAGAAAGAAACCAAGCAGCACACCAATCAGCAGCCTGACGTGGCAGCCGACCAACCGACAAAACCTTAAGTCCTCAACTCCAGCTCCTGCCTGATTTGGATTGCAGTACCCTTCCCAAAACCAGCGAGCAAAACAACCAACCAAGTGACCAGCCTGCTGACTGATGAACGAACCAAATTAAGATAAGCAAGATTTCCACTATGTAGGCTTAGCGGCTTACCTACCTTTTATCCAACCATTGGCCAACTGAGCTGCGATATCTCAACATGGTGATCCAGCTAC